GCACCACACGGAAGGTAAGGGTGTGGCGAGGAGTATGGTGGAAAATGCCGTCGACCTCCATCTGAGCTGTGCATTTTTAGAACCAGCCCATTTATTCTTTCATTCATTCCCTCACTTTCTAAAAAATGTATTCATTTATTCAATAATTGCTAAACCTCAGCTCCTGTGCTGGGCCCTGGTAGGTACAGGTAACCAGGCAAACGTGAGGCTGTAGTGGTGAGAGCAAGGATGGGGAGAGCCCAGGAGTCTGTGAGCAACCATGGGAGCCCCGGAGCCAAACCAAGGGATCAGGAAGCCCTTCTGGGAGAGGTGGACCTGGGGCGGGGGGGGGAGGGGAGGAGAGGCGCGCACAGGCCGACTGCAGGGGGATGGGGAGGTGCTTTGGAGTGGGAGGGGACAATGGCTGCACGTGCTCTTGGCAGGAGGGGCACCAGCTCCCGGCAGTGGCAACCACCTCTTCCCAAGGCTCCGGGGCCTTCCTGTTCCCCCCAGTCTTTGGTGGACAGGCCTCGGTGGGGCCTGGGTCACCATGCCCCACCCCAGGCTGGGGTGGGGCCACCTCGCCTCTGAGGTGTAGGCATTCCCACTCCCCTGGGCCCAGCGTCAGAGCTTAGTGAAAAACGGGTGATCTGGGCCAAATCAGGTAAAGGCTCTGCCTGTGGCCCTGAGCCTTTTCCCCTCTGCGGGACTCAGCTTACCCATCTGTAAAAGGCAGAGTTTGTATTGGATACTCTCTGCAGACCCTGCGTTGGAACCTCTTGTGACCCAGGACATTCCTGTTAGCATCCCAAGTGGACGTGAGCCCTGGGGGCCTGAGTTCCCTGTGCTTCAATTCCAGCCTCCCTCGGACATCTGGACTGAGGGTAGAGAAACAAATCCCAGGGCTCTACTGACCTTGATTAATGGGACAGTCTACTTTGTCCTTTCAGCAGGTGGCTGGGATGGGAAGAAAAGAGGAGCAGTTGCCCCCTAGGACCGTGACTGCCCCCCTCCCCAAGCGGGACTTTGTGAGAAACTCACCTCCCACCCAGCATGCTCTGGGGCAGGACCCCCCGCTAAAGGACGCCGCTGATACGAATAGGCTAGAGGTCCAGGGATCTGTTTTGGCAGAAGTGGGTTTGGGCTGCAGTAGGCCTCTCTCATTCTGCTCAGCCACCTCCACTTTTTGCCTGGTACTTTTTGGGGCACAAGACTGAGATGTGCCTAGTATAGAGTAAGCTGACATACGGGAGGAGAAAGCAAGGCCTCTGACCTCCACGGCCCTTGACCCCAGACCCCAGGGCCTCCACCCCTCACCTCCTCTTTACTCCTCAGTCTCTCCCCTCTTTACTACTCACCAGTGGCTTTGCATCACACTTAGAATGCAATTCGAAGTCTTTCCTACTGTCTCCTGCCTTCTAACCCCTCCTCACTCACTTCACTCTGGCCACACTGGCCTTTCAGCTTCTGGAAAATGCCAATCTCTTTCCCACCTCAGGGCCTTTGCACATGCTGTTCCCTCTGCCTGGCATGCTCTTCCCTCAGAACGTAGCGTAGATGGCTCCTTGTCATTTAACTCACTGTTCAAATATGCCACCTCAGAGGGGTCTTCCCTCATCCCCCCGCTGCCGCCGCCTGCGCCCAGGCTTGGTCGCGCTCCTGGCGTCCGGAGAAGAGCAGTCCCTCGTGTCCATTTGCTCTCACAGCTCTCTATTTCCATCAAGGCCCTTTCCCCAAGGTGTAATTATTATTCTTTTTTAAGATTTTATTTTTCAATTTTTTAAAAGTAATCTCTACCCCAGTGTGGGGCTTGAACTCACAACCCCAAGTGGCATGCTCTACCGACTGAGCCAGCCAGGTACCCCTCCTCCCACAAGCTGTAATTATTGATAGCTGATAGATTCCATGGCCATCTTCCCCCATTAGTTAGCTCCACAAAGGCAAGGACCTTCGGGATCCCAGAGCTATATCCCCAGCACCCGCTGCATAATGGCTGCTCAAGAAATGTTTGTTGAATGAATGAAACACAGTAAGTATCAACAATGCCCATTTTCCTCCTTGAACACTTTGCAGCCTCTGGGAAGGAGAAAATGGCATTTATTGGGCACCTATTATATGCCAGGCACTTTCATGTATATTATTCCGTTGAACTTTACGTCCATGACACCCTTTCCACTAAATAGAAGATGAAGTTGGGGTTCAGTGAAGGGTGGATTGATGGGTTTACTCCGTTGGGAAGCAGCCAACTGGGCCCGGTGGGCGTGAAGAATGCCCGTGGCAAATAGTGGTCAGGATTCCCGCCCAAATCTGTTTGACTCTACCGGAAGCCTATGTTCTTTTCACTGCACTGATACCTTCTGCCACACTAGAACTCAGCCCAAGACTGGCAACCAGGTTTCTAGATTCTGAAAGGCAGGCAAGGACCCAGATTGCATGGATGGGTGGTCTGGCTTAGTGGTTACTGAAGTGGGTCTTGGAACTGAAGAGAGAGACCCAGGCTCAAATGGGGCCCCACCACCTAGGCACCATGGCACCTTTGCTGAGAGTGGTCAGCAAAGTGTGCCTGGGCGAGGGCACTCTTCCTCTCGGGAAGGAAGTCAGCTGTGGGAGCAAGTGTCAAGGGATATATTGGAAAAGTCAAGGCATAGGCTTCCAAATCATGCAGAAGCCCCTGCACCTCTGGGGCTGGGTGGCCTTTAGGCAGTGCCTTCCCCCCTCTAAGCCCCAGTGGTCATCTCTGAAAAATGGGCATGCCAGCCTGGAACCAAAAAGAGCTTTTGGGAAGATGAAGAGGAAAAATGACTATGGAGTTGTTGGTGTATATAAAGTAACATGGAAATGTAAATTATCTAAAAATAAATCTTCTATGTGAAATGCAGAGTGAGGTTGGGACTTGGAAGACCTCTTTGGTTCTTTCAGCATTTATTGGCACCTACTGTGTACCTGGTACTGTGCTAGGGCCTGGGCTTGTAGGGATGAGTCAGACATGGGCCCTGAGCATCTGGAACTGCCTGTCTACTGGGATAAGTGAGGCAGGCACATACAGTGTGGGGATTCCTCCCAGTGGGATGGCAAGGAGAGACTTCCTGTGTGATGTGGTAGCAGGAGACAGACAGCCCTGGGCTGAAACCCTCCCCTCCACCCTGCATGACCTTGAGCAGGTCAGGCTACCTCTTCAGGCCCCAGGGCTTCATCTGCAAAATGGGCCAATCCCCTCTGCCTCTGAGATGCCAGGACATGGCATACTGTAGGTTCCAGGGTGGGGGACCTTGGGACAGAGTAACCTCTGGTTCCTAGACAGAAAATGGCCCTGCACTGGTCAAAATCTGGGCCTCCGGTTTGAGCGGGACCTTGCCGGCAGGAGTGGCCTGGGAACACAGGAGTGGGCCTCAGGGAACACTAAGGAGAAAGGCCAAGTAATTCCTCACTACCGGTTAGGAAAGGAGGGCAGAAAGTCCGGGGAATTGGCCTGTGCCTTTATTTATGTTCCTGATTGCATTAAGGGGGAGGGGGCCAGCTCTCTGCAAGGTCAGTCTTGCCCAGAGAGGAAGGGGATAGGGGGCCACCTCAGTTTACTCAGCAAGAGATTCCAGGTCTCGGTGCCCCCGTGAAGGCGGGATGTCTTGGGATGAATTTGTGGGTGTGTTGCGTGTGGCCTGAAGCCTTGGTGGGGTTGGCCTGAGTGAGGCCACGGGCCAATGTTGACAACTTCCCTGGGGCCTGGGGCTGTCCCAGAGCAGTGGGGCTGGCAGAAGTAAGGCCGGCCAAACTTCGGGGAATTCGGGGTGAGGGGAGAGGGAAGGAAGTTTGGGCCCCCGAAGGGCGGCGGTTTGGGGTTCCCCGGGGGAACACTGCTCTTCTGGCGCTGGGCTCGCACCGGAGAAATCAGGCCAGTTGCGCGAGGGAGGGAAGGGCGCCTGCCCTGTACCGCCCGCGCCGGGCTAAAATCGGGCGGGGCCGCCCGGGGAGGCCGGAACGCGTGTGGCCGGGCGGGGTCTGCGCCCTACTCCCTGCGAGACCGCCGGGTCCGGGCGGAGCGCGGCCTGCGAGGCTCCGGGCCAGGCCCGGGCCGAAGGGAACTCGGTCCCTGGGCTGGGCACTGAGCGCCTGCGGCTCCTGCCCTCTCGGCGGCTGCGGGCGCGGCGGCCCCCGCGCCCCCAGGGGCCGGGCCGGGGCGGGGTCTGGGCCCCGCGGGCGGGCGCGGGAGGGAGGGGGGGGACGGCGGCGAAGGCTGCGACGCTCTAACAGGTGGGATCCCGCGGCGTGGTGGAGGCGGGCGCGGGAGGAGGAGGAGGAGGAGGAAGAAGAGCAGCGGCAGCGGGAGCCAGAGCAGGAGCAGGATGAGCCGCGCGAGCTGACAGCCGCCGCCGCCGCCGCCGCCGCCGCCGCCGCCGCCCGCGCCCAGGCTCGGTCTCGCTCCCCGCGCCCGGAGCCGCTCCCCGCCTCCCGCCTCCCCCGGCCGCCCGCGGGGCGGCCCGCCCCCTCTGCACCTCCGGGCCCGGAGCTGCCTCCATCGCTCCCGCATCCCGGCCGGGGGGGAGGAGGAGGCGGAGCAGGAGGCGAGCCGGAGCCGCCGCCGCCAACGCCGCCGCTGCCGCCGCCCGAGCAGGACAGAGCGCGCCGCAGCCCCGCGCGTCCGGCCGCCGCCCGTGCCCATCAAGCAGCCGCGCCGGAGCCACACCGCGGGACAGCCCGGGCCGCGGCGCGCCCCGGCCCGGCCCAGCCCAGCCCAGTCCCGGCACCGGGCGGCCCGGCGGCCGGCCCGCCCCCGAGGGCGCCGGGCGCGGCGGGAGG